TTCATTGTTTTAATTTAGCCACTGAACTGGCGATCAAAATATTCCAAGAAAACAACCCTCAATGAGTGTAGTATCGAGTATCAACCAACTTCGGACTGCACCAAAGTCAGTCATCTCACTACCCCTAAAGAGGCCAGGATGGTCAAGTAAGGTTCCTAAGGTCAGTTAATGCTTCGCGACACCACGCGGTGGCCCCGTACTCTCCTTGACTTGACTCAAGGGTTATCGGTACTCACCAAAGTGCCACATCAACGTAGCAAACTGCTTCAACCGTGTCGGTATACCCCGTACAGTTCCCTCGCAGTTTGTTGCTACTTTCTAAGAAGGTATCCCCCAAATCCGGGTTAGGATCTATGAAACTCATAAAACAGGCCCACAATTTAAAGGAAACAAAACAAGCAATTGAAAACATGATGATGAACTATTCCTAAGGTACACCTCACTTACATATACTCCCCAACAGAGTCGCCAGTTCTATGATCGGTGGAAATAGAACTGACTGTTTTTTAGCTGGTTTCGCGAAATGTCGCGGTAAGCAAGAGTCGCCACCGTCTTTTATGTTCTCCAACATGGAAAGGACAAAAGCACAGCAAAATTCCTTCTTTGAGAATGTTTCTCGGTTCGGGAGGTAGATTATAGAAAGGGAAGGTGTTAGCACCCTTTCTATCTGTGGTTATCCACGGGCTCTTAGGTACTTGCTCTTATGTTTTCAAAATTTGTTTGCTTTTCAAGTGTGTGTGGGTTTTGAAAAAGTTCGTTTGGAAAACTTCTAAGTAACTCTTGTATCAGTCCTCAAGAGTGTATGAAGTGTTTTGTTTGAAAACTTTTGAAAGTGTGAGGTGTGAAAAGTATTTTTGTTTATTTTGAGAAAGAGCAAGTACCCATGAGAATCTACCTACTCTAAGGAATTAGGCTGTGTAAGAGTCCTTTAGATAGTGCTATCCCACCATTGAGAGGTAGGTAGCACCATCGTTGGAGGTGTTCGGGTCAATTCGATTATTAGGGACATGTGTGGTCACCTAAGCAATGGTAGGGCACCTTAGAAGTAACCCTAATGTCCTAGATCCTTTTATCCGAGGCAACCGTTTCGAGGCAACTGGATCTTTAGACAAAGGGCGACCTCTAAGACACCCTATACTTGATGACCACTTTCGAGGCAACGAGTGAGGCGTACCCTAGAAGTGGCATGTGCTTTGTGTGTTGTTTTTCAGTTAATTGTTTATTTTGTACATGTTATTTGTGAGCTACGGATTGATTTTTATTTTTTCATACATTCCTTTCATGCATTTAACAGTTAAGGGTACAGAAAGTAAATTGCGGAAATATAAATTCTACGCTATTACAAGGCGCGGGTCTATACATCGCCAAAAATACAAAGACCCGTTTTGGTAAATAAGTATGAGAAATTAAATAAAGCGATAAACCTAATTACTATTACATTCTTGAAGCAGTTACATAATAATCAAAATAAAGTAAATGCGCGCGAATAAAAATTAATCGGGAACGTTCTAAGGGTTTTGACCCTTTTAAGAAAAGAAATTGAATTTTTGTCTTTTTTGTGATTTAAATGAAATTAAAACTAATAATTAAACTAATTAATTAATTAATTAAAAGAAAAATGTTTTTTTTTGTATTTTTATGATTTTTTTAATGAAATAAAATAAAAATTAAAAAGTTAATAAAAACCTAATTCTAAATTTATTTTAGTTATTTAAAAAAGGTTAAAGTTGCCTAATTAAAGCTAATTCAATTTAAGAATATTTATTTACAAAAATAAAATAATAATAATAATAATGTTGGTTCTTCTTTTTTTTTTGGATTTTTTGTAAAAAATGTTAATTATGTTAATTGTCAATAAAAAAAGGAATAAGAAATAAAATAAAAAAGAAAATGACAAAATAATAAAAGAAAGGAGCAAACCCAAGGGGGGTAAGATGGCCCATATGGAGGTTTTTTGTGAGAAATTCTGGCCCAAGAACTCTAAGCCTGATTGACTTTTCATGATCACGTGCATGCTATTTGACTGGGGAGTATTATGGGCTTCATCTCCTGGCCACTGGATGGGTGCTTGAAGCCACATGGCAAGCTATTGCTGGGCGTGCATGGTGGAATTTTGGTACAAGCGCTGCATGAGATTGCTTTAGAAAAAATATCAAGAATTATATGGGGGACCTGGGAATCAAACCCAGGTCCTAGTGATGCCTAACCACGTCTCCAACCACTGAACCAAACGCGCGCGTTTGTTAGAATAATAAGAAAAAAAGATAATATGAAATAAGCGCACTATATGCTGAATCAAAAGGAAACGCACGCGCCCATTTGAATCTGCCAATCATGTCCATCCACGTATTGTCTTCTTCATCTGTTCCTGCAAAACAAAGAACAAGTAGCGGGGGTTTTAAACCCCCACAAAATGAAGCGACCAAAAATAGCGATTGGGCCTGTATGTAATATAAATTGGGCGCGAGGTGTGTTTCGTGTTCGTCTCCTCTAGCCGGTTTCAACCATGGGTGTTTGGAGTCCTGATTTTACAGTATAGCAAAAGCCCTAAATCACAAGCTTTGAAAACCTAGAACTCAATAATGGTATCTTTCATGTTAGAGCATCATAATCAAATTAAATCATATGGAAAGCTTCGTATGGATCCTGTGAGCACAATGCAATCAATAAAAAGTGTTAAAAACGCATGAATGGATGATTGTGATTTTGAAAAATAAGGTAAACAGTATGACTTGTGTGGCACGAGTTCTTGAGGTTTTTGGCTCGTTCTTGGCTGCAAATGATCCCTGGGGATGCTGGGAGTGTATTTGGATCAAAAGGAAGGCCTGAATTATGCTGCAAGTGAGATTTCAGTTTCACACTTTTCTTTGGAATTTTGGAAATTGGATATGCTGTGTGTGAGAGTTCTAGCTCGTGAATTGGATTGGAAAGGCTTGCATATGTATCCTTGAATGAGTATCAGTCACAATAAGGAGCTTTTAACCATTGCCATGAAGTTTTTGATTTCCTCTTTAACACCATTAAAGCACTTGCCATGTTTGTTCAAAATTTGAATTCCATGCTCATAATGGACCTTTACACGAATTTGGTATATGGATTATGGTGTATCAAAGTCATTCAAGCCATAAAATATCCCTTAATTAATTTTTTTGATTTTTATTTGAATTTTAAAGATTTAAAATGAATCAAATCAAATAAAATTAAATAAAAATAGAAAAATTAATTTTTAATCTTGAAATAAATCATGGGACACGTGGGTGGCATGGAAAAGCTGAATCAAGTGGAAAAAGTGGGCCTTTTTTGTCAAAAATTGAAGTTTCAAGGATAGTTGACTTTGGCTTTCACAAAAATTTCCCAACTTCTCCAATGCATATCTTGCTCAATTTTGATCATATGAACATGTTCTTGGACATTTTGGAAAGTTCTTGAAGTCCTCTAACCAATGTCCTTGGTCCCATGTCATTTTGATTTACCAATCTCAAGTTATGGTCTTTGACTTAAAGTGCCTTTTTGTTGACTTTTGAAAATGACCTATAATGTTGAAATTGATAACTTTTTGTGAGAGCATTTCTTGGACTTGGAATGTGAAGATGAGTTGTAGTAAATGTCCTCCCCTTCAAAATGAGCATTGGATGGGATTTTTCTGATGAACCATGAAAAAGTTATGCCTTGGTCAAGTTACAGTTGACTTTTCAGCTGTCCAAAAATAGAAACTTTTGCATCTTGATGATTTTTGAGCCATTCTTGTGAAATCATGATCAAGACTTGATAAAATGATGATTGTGGCTTCAAAATAAGATGTTGACCAAATTTTTTGACTTTTGACTGCCAAATGACCATTTTACCCCTGCAGTTGATTGTGAATCAACTAGGGTTTTTGACTGTGCAACTTGACCTTGTGAGCCTTGAAACTTGACATGTAGGTGCTTGACAATGTATATGAGCATAGGGGACTTGATTGAGCCCTTGAAAACCTCAACTTCCTTGCAAGAACCAAAACCCTAATCTTTGACTGGCTTAGGAGATGTTAGGACTGTGCAACCCTTGAGAAGTCTTGAACAAATTGAGATGATGCTTGTCAAAACTTTGAAGAATATGGGAGGGAAAATTTTGGGGTACAACACATATTCTTGTTCCATGTGAAATAAGTTCCCTTAGTGGGAATATCAACGAGGTTGTTATTGTCTGACTAATTTCTGAAATCTTGTATGTGGGTATTGCTAAGATTGTGTCTACCATTATGCTCATGATCACCCAATATGGCATTGAAATCTCCTAAAATACTCTAGGGGATATCATTGGAAATTAAGGTGGAAGATAGGTTGGCCCAAAGGTTCCTTCTAGCTAAATGGCATGGTGAAGTATAAACTACTATGATACCAATAATGCTTGAATCTTGAGAGTAGAAAAAAGAGACATGTTAGGCTGATATATATATATATATATATATATATATATATATATATATATATATATATATATATATATATATATATATATATATATATATATATATATATATATATATATATATATATATATATATATATATATATATATATATATATATATATATATATATATATATATATATATATATATATATATATATATATATATATATATATATATATATATATATATATATATATATATATATATATATATATATATATATATATATATAACTTAAGGGTTGATTGAGTTATAACAAAAACACCAGATATTAGGAAGAAGACCGACTCTCTCATTGCAGGCAAACAACTTTAGGTTTTCAAAAAAAATTAAAAGGTAAATTGGTGAAATTCATCCAAGGTTCTAAGATGAAATAGAAGTCAGTTTTGTGTGTTTTTATAAGATTTTTTAAATCCAATCTTGTTAGAGGATTGTCTAGGCCCCTTACATTCCAAAACGTCTCTTCATTGCAAATGTTTGAACTTATCCACCTCTGCTCTAGTTGAGTATTTTCTTTTCACTTTTTCCTTTTGTCTCAATTTATTCTATCTTGATTTGGATATTGCCAACTGGAAATCTTGTTCCTCATTTGATTCAGTCAAATAGTCCTCATTATTCTTCTCTACCATATTAGCCCGTGATTTCTTTAAGAAATCTTCAGTGCCTTTTTGTGTTATAATCAAACCATCTTCAATATTAGATAATTGAGTTGCATCCACAAACTCAATTTCCTTTAAGCTGGATTCTTTCAGAATCATAATTTCTTTATTTTGGTCTTTATTTCCCACTTTAGTTCTGACATTGTCTACACTGCTATAAACCTTCTGATACCTGTTGGCGAGAACTATCAGATCCTTAACATTCACTTGTGCAGGCTCCTGATTGTTGGATTTACTAGTTTCCCCTTCCTCATTAATTTTTCTTATGGAATTAACAACAACGAGTTCCTTCTATTTTATATTGATTAGGACAAATGTTTTTCCCTTCAACCATGTTTTTGGTTATATTTCCTTCTTCGGAATTATGTTTCTTTTCCTACAAAGTTCTATTGAGTGACCAATAACATTGCAGTGTGAGCAAAACTCAAGCAGCTTTTCATATTCTATTTCCACAAAGAAAGCGAATCATACTCTCTCTACAAGAATCTTGTAAGTTAAATATTTATGAAGGTCAATATCAATAAAAACCATGACGAAAAGTCTGAATGGCCTATCAAAAGTTGATTTACTTAAGGAGGAATCTATACAAATAGGTGTACCTAGATTATTGGCTATGGTGAAGATAATCTTGGGTCTCCAATACTCTTGAGAGAGACCATGAATTTTGATTTAGATCTAAGTTGAGGTTTGGTTCACATTCAAAGGCACAAAGTTCTTGGATCAAGGAAAAACTTTGAGTATACCTAGATTAAGGTTCCAAGATTTTAAGGATTAGATTATTTGCTTGTCTTCAAGGCATGAAAAGGTGAACTCGCATAAGTCTTTCCCCAAGAGGTGATCAATGGTTTTTACACCATTATTTACCGTTTATTTTAGTTATCTTTGATTTATATTGTCAAGAAATTTACTTCATGTTTCCGTATTTTATGCATAGGTTGTGTGGTTTAGTCTTTGTAGGCTCAAGGGAGTAAATCGAGACAAATCAATGTGAAAAAGTGAAAAACTCAGAGTTTCGGAGGAAGTGGAAAAATCATGTTACATGAGGCCTGACACGGACACCTGTGTCAGCAAGTCTAGGACTTAAAAAAAATAAATATAACTTAGAGGGCCAACACAGGCGGTCGTGTTACCTGACATGGGCCGTGTTGGCCAGTGATGCTGATTTTCCTTATTTTTGTGATTTTTCACTAAGTGTGACCCGGAGGGGCGTTTTGGGCATTTCTGACCGAGACAAATGGATTTTCACTATTTATATGAGTTCTCACGACTAATTAGGGAACTTTGAACGGAGCTAAGAATTTTTACACGGTCAAAGATTGGATAAACCAAGATCATTAGAGAGCGAAAGATTTTCATGAGCGGAAGCAATTGAAGATCGAAGTTAGCCAAATACCAGTGATGTCTAGTTTTTATCTTGTAGTTATTTTGAACAATATGAGAAGCTAAACCCCCTAATGCTAGGGGGTGTCCCTGATTTGATTTTGCAACAACTTTGAATTCCTAGTTTCAGTAATACAATTGTTTTTCATATTCAATTTAATTGTACAAGGTTTTTATTGCTTTCTTTGTTAGACCAACAAGGATTAATTTACGGTTAACAACTAGATGACCGCGGTTATTAAGGTTTTCGCACGATTAGACTATAGTAGATATCACCTAAGACTAGGGATACCCTATATGTTACCGATTAATTCTTGATAAAACCAAGGTTTGATTTCCTCATAATTCTCTAAGGACTTAGGATTTAGGATGAATAATCAAAGGTTTTCCCACTAAGGACTTAGGGGAAAATAAACTAAAGATCTGGTAATTGAGTATTTTGAACTTGTTAAACAGATCAAGATTCAAGGTTCTTATTGGGAAAATCATACACTTTACCCTAGCATGTTCCTCACATCTATGAAAAAGCTAATTTATTATTCCGCTTGTTTTACTTATTGTTAAGTGATAATTTCCAAACAAAACCCCAATTCAAGTTTTTTGTTTAATTAAACCACACATTAAACTCGATATTGATGCGCATTCCTTGAGATGGACATTCGAGGAATTTCCAGGTTATTACTACAGAGTAAAAATAACACACTTGTTATTTTGACGATCAAGTTTTTGGCGCTGTTGTCGGGGACTGCCAAAATATAGAGTTGAGTTCAATTAGAATTTTGATGCTCCGCGACTAAAATTTTACTTTTTTCTATTTTTCTATTTTTCTTATTACTAATTTTTGTCTAATCTTTATAAGCGAGGAAAGTCCTCAGCTGAATTTATTTTTGACGCAGAAATTAAAAGAACTTTTCACGCAAGGCATAGACAAGCTCGATTAGCCAGACTGAACTTCGACGAAGAACATTAAGTTCACACAGAATAAAAGTCAGAGTTAGAAGAAGAAATTCTTATAGGTTAAAATCCACCAACACCCGAGAGACTTCTTGGGGACTATGGAGGAGTAAATGCTCCAGCAGATCGGCTGACTATTGTGAATCAACCGGTAAATATTGTAAATTTTCAGCTGCACCCTTCAACAATCTGACAGCTTGAAATTAGACCTTTCACTGGAAAGATAAATGAAGATGTGAATAAGCATTTACAAAGGTTTCTTACTATGAGCAATACTTTGAAGATTGAGGTGCACTATGAAGAAGCAAAGGAATTAAGAATGTTTTCGTTCACACTTTCTGAAGATGCTGAAGAGTGGTTTTACTCATTACCTACTGGGAGTATTACTAGTTGGGAAGAGATGGAGAAAAAATTTCTTGATGAATACTTTCTTGCTTCTGTTTACATTCGCAAAAGATTTGACATTGTGAATTTTAAGAAGAAAGAATGAGAGTCACTAGGTGAGGCGTATAAGAGGTTCAAGAGGTTATTGGTAGCTTGTCCCACTCATAATATGGACCAAACTAAGAAAATTCAGATGTTTGTAAATGGCCTCAGAATGAAGACAAAGCAACTTATTGATACAGCTGTCGGTGGCTCATCAAACTTTACAACAACCATTGGTATTAAGAAGATCATTGGAGCCATTGCTTCAAATGAACACTTAGAATTATATGACTGAAGTGTGAGTAAATCGGAGGGAGTGATTAAATTGAAACCGGAAAGCCAAGTGATAAAGATGGAAGATTAAATTGCTGCTGAAGTTGAAATAAGACTCAAGGCTATGAATTTAGGTACTCAAACTGTATCCCAAATTCAACCTGCTTAAAGTGTTAGTTGTGAGATTTGTAGTGGACCTCGCCACATTGTGTATTGTCTTGCAAATCCATAAAAAAATGAAGAGATCAAATTTTTTAGGCAGAATAATCCTTACTCAAATACTTATAATTTAGGGTGGAAGAATCATTCAAATTTTTTCTGGAAAGATCAGCAAGTAAATGTCCAAAATCAGCAACAAGCTCCACATAAAGCAGATTGGGAGGTAGCTATTGAAAAGATGGTTGCCCACACTTTTCAATTCCAAGAAGAGACAAGGAATAACTACAGAAACAACACAACTTTGATCAAAAATTTGGAAGTTCGAGTGGGATAGATAGCACAACACATATCTCTGCAAGAATAAGGAAATTAAAAAAATCATGAGAGTGTTAATGTTGTCACAACAAGGAGTAAGAAAGTGGCTAAAGAAAAAGAAGAGGAGGTAAAATCTGATAATCATGTCATAGAAGTAGAGCTAGAAATAAGGGAAAATAAGAAAGAACCAGAAAAAGTTGCACCGCCCGTAAAGCCAACCGAGGAGGAAAATAACAAGAAGGCTAAACCAGTGATTAAGTTGCCATGCGCGTCTCGAGTGATAAAGAAGGATCCAAAAGAGAAAGATTTTGAGAAATTTGTCACATTATTCAAGAAGTTAGAGATCAACATGCCTTTCTTTGAAGCTCTAGATAAAATTCCCAAGTACTAAAAATTCATGAAGGAGGTACTATTAAAAAAGAGATCAATAGGAGGTAGAGCAGTACCCAGTGATAAGAAATTGTGTGCAATCTTGTCAGAGAGGAAAGTCCCAATCAAGCAGAAGGATCTTGGATCGGTTGTAATACCTTGCACTATAAAAGACAAAACATTCAAGAGGGTTTTAATTGATTCTAGTTCTAGTGTGAGCTAATAAGTGCAAAAATATTGTTATTTTGTGTATATAATTTGGGTCACTTATCAATTATTTTGATAATATTCTTTGAATAATTCCCTTCTTTGTGTGTAAATATGTATACTTTACGTATTATTATGTTTTCGATTCATTTTTGTATTGTTTGATAGTTTTAATGTCTTTTTGTAGGTATTTACACATATTTGGAATATTGATGAGTAAGGTGTCGAAGGCACGGCTCCGGATATGAATTTTTGGAAGAAATAAAGAAAATAAGTGTTGCATACGGGGCTAAGCGCGGTCTGTGGGTGCTTAGCATGCCCTGGGACCTGAAGAGGAAAATTTGGCAGAGGCGAGCACTCTAAGCGCGGTCTGAGCCCCTTAGCACGCTCTAAGGCAGTTTAGTGAATTTAAGTAAATCCCACTTAGCGCAGTCTGCAGTATTTTGTTTTTAAACTTCATTTTTGTTCATTTTTAGGTTATGGTTTTGGGGAAGTTTTTGCTGCCAACTCCATTAACCTCCAACTTTGTTAGGATAAGCTTAGATAACAACTATGGAGCTTGCATACGGATGATCCAGGGTGGATTTGTATTTGGTCGTCGTTGACAAATCGATAGATATGTGATTTATTTCTCTTTTTCTTTGTGTACTCTCTATTGGTTGGGTTTGTATATGTATTTACTTTGAACTCATGTATATTTATCGACCTTGGCGTTATATAAAACTTGCTTTACAAATCTTTGTTGATTTTTGTCCTAGATTTTTGCTCTGTGATCGGGATTTAGGTTGTTATAGTCATATACTCCTTGAATTCTTATCTTGGATGATAGTCTGTTAGTTTCTGGATTCTAGAGATAGATTTAGAGCTGAAACTCACTTGGGTGTCTGTGATTAATTCCTAATTGTTGCTTGTGTCTCTCTGAGAGATCGTCAACGCAATTAGCATGATTGACTTCTGTATTGTTGAGGTGGTTGAAAGATCCCTACCAAGGTGATATAGCCGACCTCTCAATTTGGGTTAGAAATGACTTAGGTTATGAGTGATACGTGGTGACATTGAGGAGTATTGTAGGTTAAGTATAACAGGTCGATAGGTTTAAGTCTGTGAGAAGTGGATTATATGCATGCTTGATAAGTTATTCATTTTCCTTTTTATACATTTAATTTCTGTTGATAACTTTTACCCTTTCCATTCAACCCCTAAACTCATTAACGAATGATTTGTCGAACATCGACTTGATAACCAATCTCCGTGGACACGATACGATATAACTTAAATATCACCTGGTAAAATAATACTTTACTTTTTGCTTTCCTCTATACCGCTACAACAAAATGGCGTCGTTGTCGGGGATTGG